CTAGTAATAATCAGATATACAGAGATGAGAAATGCATGTGCAAAAAACATCTTAATGTCAATTGCATTAAAAAATGAATTTTTCTGTATGAAACTCTGTATTTTAATAATGAAACTGAGATCTTTTTTAAAGGTTAAAACTTCATTTAATTTTATGTCTTATAGGGTTTATACTGAGTACAATATTGTATAACTGTAATAATTCAACTGTAAACCTAAAAATGTACAGTCAATTTTGTAAGAGATGCATCCTACTCAGAAAATTGTTATTGAATATGTCAATGCTGATGTAATGAAATGCTTCTTCTAAGTATGTGGTTATTAAATAAATAATTTTTTAAAATTATATATCTGTGTATGTTTGAATATGGGTATGTACACATGAGGGCAGATACCCTTAGAAACCAGAGGCATCAGATCCCCTGGAGCTGGAATTTTAGGAAGTTGTGAGCTGCCTGTTATGGGTGCTAGGTCCTGAACTCTGGTCCTCTGCAAGAGCAGCACATGCTCTTAACCAGAGTAATCGTTCCAGCCCCTATTTGGGTCCTCTTCTTCTCTCTTGTCTTTATACCTTCCATGAGATGAGAGCAAGAAGTCTTTTATCAGATGGCAGTCCCTCGATTTTGGACTCCCTGTCTCTTTAACTATGAAAATTAATTTTTTGTTCTCATTTTCAGGAGAATGTTTTCTCTCTCCATTAGGCTTGAATGAGGAAACAGACAGGACAGTTTCTACCAGAGGTGGGATCATCATATCATTGAAGTCAACAGGAAGTCAAGCTCATAGGCAAAAGTAGAGCCAAAGTACCTACAGACGTGGAGGGTGAGGATGGAACCAGAGCTGGAACCTGGGTACAGCTTCACTTCTGAACTTAGTGTACGAACAGCAGAACTGTCCTATCTCAGGAGAGGTGGCTCAGTGGGTCATAGCGCAAGCCTGATGACCTAAGCCCTCAGAACCCATATAAAAAGCTGGATGTGGTGGTATATATCTGTAATCCTACATGCCACCACATCCAGCTTCTTATATGGGTTCTGAGGACATAGATCATCAGGCTTGCACTATGACCCACTGATCCACCTCTCCTGAGCTCTCAGCTCAGCTAGCCTGGAGTACAGTGACCACTGGCAGAAACAAGAAGACTCCTCCTTAACAAGGTGAAACGAGAGAACAGACTCTCAAAAGTTGTTCTTTGGCCTCCGCATGGGTGCCCTAACATGTGCGTGCCCCCCCCCACAGATGCACATATGCACATTCACACACAATCTTAAAAAGAACTCTATTTTAAAGCCCCTTTGAACAAGTTTTTATTTTACTTGTTAAAGGAAGCCATTAGGAACCACCTACTGTTAGAGTATCAATAAATTGAACTGGTCCAGGCTATAAAAAAATGTCTAGTCTATCTGTTGGAGGACCCACATTTCCAGTCTCACTGGCCAATTACCTGGTGATAGAACCACTCCCAGGAAGGCAGGTTCACCTTAAGTTATGCTAAATAGGCGGGCGGAGTACCTGGTGTGTTAATGAGGTAATGAATATTTCCTGCTTGGAACTAGCTCAGAGCCAATTCGTCTGCCCTGAGGATTTTTCTTTAAGATTCTAATAAAATTGTAAAATCTTCCTTCTGTTTGGGGCCATTCTTAAATTCTTTTATGAATGAGACTAAGAACCCTCTAGGGGACCCTCTTTTTCCCTGCTTCACTACCTCTGTGTCCCGTTGTATCTCTTCCCACACAGAGCTCACAAATACACACTCTTCCCTCCACTCCATTCATGCCCTCTTCATTGCTCAATTGTATGACTTCAATAACTTAAAAAAAACTTAATGTATGAGTGTATATGTTTCTGCATGTAAGAGCATCCATGCCTGCAATGCCCATGGAGGCCATAAGAGGGCATTAGATCTTCTGTAACTGGAGTTGCAGATGGTTGTTAGCCACCATGTGGGTACTGGAAACTGAACTTGGGTCCTTCGAAAGAGCAGTGAATGTTCTTAACCCCTGAGCCATCTCTCCAGCTCAGACTTCAATACCTTTTAATGCAGGTTCCCTTCCCTTGGGGCCACTGCTTCTTCCAACCCATTCTCCATGTGCCTCCTGCATTAGTTACTTATCTCATTGCTGTGATCAAACACCTGATAAGAATCAATTTAAGGGAGGAAGGGTTTATTCTGGCTTATAGTTTGAAGGGATACAGTCCATCATGGTAGATAAGGCATGGTAACAGGAGAGTGAAGGAGGGCTGGCCACACTGTATCCATAGTCAGGAAACAGAGGGCAGATAGGAAGTAAAGCCATTCTAATAAGCCTGAAGGCCCACACCCAGTGAGGCACTTCTCCAGCTAGGCCCTATCTCAAGGCCTTCCTCCAACTGGGGACCAAGTGTCTACACATGGGTCTACGGGGACATTTCACATTCAAACCACACTTCTAGAGTGACATTTCTACAGCTTACCAGGGTGTCATCATGATGTTCTATGCTTAAAATAATTAATGACTGTTCATGAAATTTCAGATAATGTTCAAACTCCAAACTATGTATGCCAGAGGTATTCCATATCTACCCCTAGGCAATCGTGGCCTTTTCTCTTCA